AAGGGTAGGATTTGTGATTTAAATCTGTATTTAAAGTATATCAAATTTTCTTTGTAATACAGTAACAGTTCTCACCTTTTGTTTTTTCAGACTTCTTAACTTTTTTTGTCACTACACCCGTTGTGTTTACATTTAAATGCAATGATAATAACTGGATTAAACCGCATGGATGATTGTCTTATATTTTACTGATTATATCTCAACTGAAGCGCTTGTATTGTGGCACTTGCTTCTGCTTTGAAATTTCTCCGACTGTCTGTTTATTTAGTTGTTCTGTTTCTGATGGATAATGAAATGTCATTCATGTGGCTGTTACTCTATCTTTCACATTTTAGTGCATCATCAGGTTGAAACCAGTCTTCACCTGAATTGCTTTTCTGCAGTGTACCTGCGTTTGACAGTCTGACTTTTCCTTGAAGATTTCACTGCTTCTTCTTTTTTACTTCACCTATTTCAGGCAGCCTTACTTGTTGCTGCATTTTTGTGAGTTTTGGTTGTTTTCATTGGTAGTAGTCTTGGCACTGGATCTTATATTTATGTTGGTCTATAAACCTCTCCTGTCTACATTTCATCTGATCTGTTCTGTCGTGTTATATTGCAGTTATTGGCTCTGTTTTATGGGGTCTAATCATTCCTGAAACTCCCTTTTGTCAGATGATAGTTTTCAATTGATATATTGGTGAAGTACAGCGATCTGAAACAAAATTATTTCCTCTCAGCTGTGAAGCTGGCAGCTCCTCCTTCAGCTGCTACAGAATCCAAGAGGCAGGAAACCAAAGAAAAAGGTATGAAAGGATGATGGTGATGTAATAACATAACTGTCAGTGTTATGTTGCCCTGTCCAGCTTGATAATGGCTTCTGCGCTGCCATCTGCAATCCTCCTTTAAATTGTACCTGTATGCTGTGGCCTGTAAAATGCATGATAGATATATTTGTCAGTATGCTGGTTCCTAGATTTTGGCTGTATCGAATATTCCTTCTGTCTTACAATAGCGTATTTAGGTCTCTTTCCCTTAAGGCTACAATGCGTAATATCTACATCATATTTGTATTTCAGAATCTCTGTCTGTAGCTGCTAAAGACAAGCACAAGAGGCAAGAGATAAATGAGATGGTAGAAGGTAATTTTCAATAGTTTCGACTTGTTTGTTGGTTTATTCTGTTTCCATTGTGCCTTTGCAGTGAATCAGTGTATGCACTGCAGCTCTTTGTTGAAAGGAGTCACAAATTAAGTAAATGAAACCATTAGGGACTTTGTACCTCTGTGTTTGGCTGCTGACCTTTGCCAAAGAGAGAAAGTTGTTGGGTCATGACTTGGCTTAAATTGTCTTGTTGCTTTCTGGCGTAATTTCTATTTAGTTTGCTTTGTTTTTTGTGGGACCGCTGGAAGATTTGCTGCTGGAAAACTGTTTTTGATTTGCACTTACTGATGTTTTGGTCTTTGTCATGTTTTTGTGGTTTGCGCTACTGTTGCAGAAAAAAAACAGCAATATTTTCAGTCTCCACATCTGTGGATTTGTGTGGTCACTAGATTATTTTGTTGCATGGAGACTGACTTAGTATGAAGATATGAAGCTGTCTTTGATTCCATCAGCTGTTTGTGTTTCTGCTCTTGATGAGACTTGAATTACATGTTTCTGCTGCTTTACTATGACAAATTCAAATGATGGGACCAATGTTGTGTTCAATCGTTTTAGCGGTGACATTGACAACAACTGAACAAACTCCTAAACAGGATTTTCAGGGACATTCAAGAGAGCTTAAAGTGGGAAGTGAAGGTAATGCAGTGCGTGTTTGCATGGATTTTTCCGGACACTGCAAGAGCAGTGAGAAAATTCAGTTGCAGTCTTTTAAAATGTTGTGCGCAGTCCTGTCAGTCTTTGCTTCAGTGTGTGCTCATCTATATGTACTGTGAGGTGAATGGCAAAAATACAGAATGAAGTCGTCTTTCGTTGTATGTTTTTATTGTGCCAGCTGCATTGTGTTCTGTGTTAAACAGGGAACATTTTGCTGTGTTTGTGACGCATTTTGTGTCGGATCACTGAGATAATGGTCTGAGGTGTTTTTGTTTTTTGTTGTTGCTTGTAGGTTTTTTCATTTTGAAATATTTCAGTGCTTCATGTCATCACAGATATTAACCCCCCACAACCCCCCCAATTATTTTTACCTCCACCAAGAAGGTTTTGTTTTTGGTAGCAGTGGTTTGCGTGCTTCTGTGTGTGTGTGTCATTCGTTAGTAAACGCAATAGCTCGAAAAGATTTGAATGTATTCTGATAAAACTTTGTAGGGGTGTAGAGTGGGGGCATGTTATCAGTCCATTGAAAATCTCTTACATCCACCCTTTAATGTGAGCTTAATCATTTATCGGTCAGTAATCGACATAAAAACATATCTTAGAAACTATGGCTCCGTGTGTGTGGTGTGTATTGTTAACTTACAGAATAGGAATTTAAAGTATCATAATCCTATTAATCTACTTCAAGATTAATCGATTAATTGATTGCTATTTAAAGCTGTTTAAACGTCTTACTGTCATTGTTTTTATTGACAACATATAGGGAATGATATATGGAGATCCTAAATATCATGTTACATCTGATCTCTTTTTCAAGGTTAAATAACAATAAAATAACTGAAATACATGTGGATACATTTTATGAAAATAACCAAAAAAAATCTTTAAAAATTATGCTTAAAATTCTAATGACTTTGTTTGGATCGTATACATTTAGGAAATGATACCTGTATATGGGGATTGTAAATATCACATTATAGTTTGCATTCAAATGTCGTGTCACATTTGACCTCTGACCTCACTTTTATGCGTCACATTTACCTTTATTTCAAGTTGACCCCAAGATGTGTTATATTTTTCAAGACAATATTGTCAAGAGGACGATAATGAGCTGCCTTGATAGTTGGAAATATAATAACTATCTAATAGGATGATATTATAAAATAAGGTCAAATTATTTATGTCCAGTTGTTTACTCTAACTTTATTTACACTACCTACCCCTACGTGTTTGTGTAATCAAAGTAAACATCTGTCCTGCTGTCCTTATCTGATTTATACTGCACTGCTTTTTAAAGTAGCTTTAAAAAGAACAAAGAAAACAATATGAAATTACACAAGATACAATAATATTCCCTTAAAATAGAGACTAGAGAGTGTGCTGCCTTGGTGGAGGTTTGTACTCTCTGAGAACTTCTTGTTGTTTAAAGTATTCAGTTTACACACTTGTAAGCGGATCACATAAGAATGTGCGACATTCGTGTTTGTGTCCGTGCCTTTCTAATTCTGGCTCTTGTGTTAAAGTTACGCTAGAACTCCAGTTGTAAGGTTATTGTGTTTTATCCCAGCTGATAAGCCTTTTGCTGGAACCACTGACAAACCAGCTACCCAGCGACAGGGGACCAAAGAGCAGCTTGCAGGTACGCAAAGACTTGACTTTTGCATTGACCAGCAGGTTTCTTGCTGTACACTACACTTTATTGCTACATTACTCTCATTGTTAGTTTTGCTGCATGCTTGTGTTTTCGTCACATTGTTTGGCGGATTGAAATATGTTTGACTGTAGCTCGTCTGTGTGATTTTTTTTAAAGTTAGTTAAATTGATTTCTAAGGTTAAGTCAATTTAAAAGCAAACAATTCGATGTTGTCTGAGTTTTTCTAAAGAACTTGAGCAGTAACAACTTTAATTTACTCTATTTTTTGATACAATTGCTGGAAAGTTTTTTTTATGCAGGTTAAAGATTTGTAGAAAAATCATTACTTTTATGCTTTCATGTTATGATGTATTCACTGATATTACTATAGTCAGTGATATTTGATATATTTATGATGAAGTACTGGAGACCACGAACGAAGAATGGAATGACTGATCTTACTGGTTCCTAATGGACTAGTGATCTACCAGAATGGTGATTACATTATACTTTATATATTAACTACTTACTTAATGAAGTAATGGTAATTACTTTCATTCATACAGCTTAAAGGCTGGTCTGGTGTTTCCAGAACTGCCAGCACACATTTGGGTGAAATAGGCAATTTATATTGAAATGTCATGTTATTTTTTCCAAGCTAGTTACCTTTTAGGTATTTTAATTTGATTAGAACCTATTTTACATACTTTGTACCCTCTGCATTTAATTGGCTTTCCACCAGTTCTGTCACCGATAACTGGACCATAAAAGATAAAGCCCACTTGTGTCCAGTTTACTGAACAAAATGTAGTATGTAATAGGAGACTACAAACAAAGAATGATCGATCTTACTGGTCCTGAACAGACTATAGTATTAGTCATCAGGCGGAATGGGGATTCTGTCCTTTTTTATACGCTGAATACTTATTCATGAAGTAATGGTAAATTGACTCGCTCATTAATGATCACAACTAATACATATTTTCACCTGAGGAAGCACTGAGTAACTTCATAATTATTCAGCCTGATTAATTATGAAATAATTAATTACATCATTACTTTATACACAGGTTATTGTTTTGAATATTTTTACTTTCACACTGGGTTTAACATAATAACATGAAGTTTTTCACTACTTGCCCTCAGGAATCCTATCAGAATGGAAATAGATTTCATAATATTGAGTTATATGGAATAATTTTGTCTGTGGCTACGCTGCTATGGAGTGTTGTTTTTAAACTGTCCTATCCCACGCACTGCAGTTTGCTTCTTGTGCTTCCCGTGGTTGTGATATGTTGGCAGAAAGATTGCTGCAAAGAGTTTTGTTGCAAGAAAGTTTATCTTAAATAATGGATACCAGTACTGATACAATACCAGTCTCTTGTCTCTCAGTCTAGTTTTAAGTCTTTTTAGTTTGTGACACATAGTGTATATTGTGTGTGATCATGTGCCTCGGCCTGGCTTTGTAAATTCTCCTGTGCAATTAAATAAAAGTTTGCCATATATTTACAGTAATTATAATTACCTATATTGTGGTCCCATTAACCTGATGAAATATGGAAGATGAAGTTAAATAATATAAAATCTGTACCTTAGAAATGCTTCTTGCCTTAATGCAGTGCTCAGTGTGTCCATATGAGGATGCTGAGTGCTATTTGTTATGGTGTGTCAGTACTATTTTAAGATACTGCATTTCCAATCCAGTGCACGAGTCTGTGTGTTATTTAAAAATAAGTGAAAGTTAGGAGCTTTTCCTTTATCAGTCACTGTCAGGGTTAGGAATGAAGTGTAGGTGAAACATCTGGATATAAAAGCATGTTGCTTTTGATTTGTTGCATCAATTATTCTGTTGTTGAAGCTGAAGTTCTAGTTAATGTAAGTCAATTAAAACCAACTTAATAAATACAATTACAGCACAGACCTCAGCAGTGACTTTGACAGCTGAAGCTGAGAAGCAGGACACCCTAAAGAAAACTGAAGGTATGTGCTGGCGTTCTTGACTGCTAAAGAGTTGTCACAGGAGTCTTGTATGAATGCAGGACTTTCGTCTACAAATATGAAAGACGCTGAATAAATTCACAGTTTCAAATCTGTGGTCCTGTCACGACCTTCTCAACTCCCAGGAGAGACAAAAAGGGTACAATGGGCAGCCTGCCTGCCTTTAAAGACACTCAACACTCTCACAACAGGCAGCTGGGGGTCTGCGAACATTACAAAAACCTTTTAGTTTGCAGCCCAGTTAATGTTAAGCAGAAGGAAAAACACCTCAAGCTTTGAAAATCCACAAACGCAGAGCACAATCCTTACATAGCATCACAGAAAATAACATTAAATGTTTGAGCTTAAAATGAACTACATACTTGTCTATGTTTCATATTTACTGAGTACTGTTGTACTGAACATGCTGCGGCCACACAGGCTCAAATGTCAGGCATCGTTGAGTCTTTGCCTCATTTGTTCTTGTAGGCTGTGCAACTTCAAGTCTGAAGTTGCACTTTGGATATTTGTAAATCATTCACTGTTGATTTTTATAGACTTTCTTCTGTATTTTACTAGTTTGTTAACAAGCATTTTCTCTTATTTATCCTAAACATCACCATTCTTCTTGTGTTTGTTCGGTACTGTGTTTATGACTGTGAAGGTAACCTGCTGGTTTTGATGTCATCCCTCTGCTACAGCTGGATACCAGAGCGCTGGAATGAAATTAGTGGCACTGTGCTTTCTTTATTCTCCTTGTTTTGTTTTTATTCAGCCGAATTGGTTGTTACTCACTTGTTATTACCTCTGAATACCAGATTTGCAGAATTATTTTCTTGTTCTTCTCAAACAAGAATAGTTGAGAGCTGTATTTGACAGCCTTTTAGTGCTATATTTTGAATAGGCAGAGGTGTACCTGCCCTGACTGTGTATCAGTGTTATTTTGTGTTTGAGCAATAGAGCTACCATATTGGATGCTTTTTCTATTTTCTATTTTTGTTTTTAGTAGGTTAAAAAGTATATTTTTATACCAAACTAATCTTTTGTTATTAAATCCTATGGGTTACCATAATACATACCAACAGATTATTTTATCTATTTAATCCCAAGTTCTTCCAGTCATATTCATTCGAGACCTGGAGAGCCAAGTAGCTGAAGAGGGAGGTAGTGTTACCTTGCACTGTGAGCTATCAAAACCTGGAGTCCATGTAGAGTGGAAGAAAGGATCAGAAGTCCTGAGCTGTGGAGAAAAGTACCAGATAAAACAAAAAGGATTCTGTCATGAGCTGCACATTCTTGATTTGAGGCCTGGAGATACAGGAAGCTATTCCTGCTCTTTAGAGGATACAATAAGCTCAGCATCTCTGGTTGTAAATGGTAGGATGAAGCTATCGCATGTTTTCTTCTTCTTCCAACAAGTCCTTCATTTGTTGCTTCATTTCTCCTTTCTTCATCATCCCTGTTCCTTTTTGCATAATTACTCCATTTTCCTTTTTTTTTGTCCATCAGCTCTTCCAGTTATTTTCACAAAAGAGCTGGAAAGCCAAACGGCTGATGAGGGTGACAGTGTCACCCTGAACTGTGAACTATCTAAAGCTGGTGTTCCTTTGGAGTGGAGGAAGGGAGAACTTGGTCTTTGTCCTTGTGCAAAGTATGAAATTAGACAAAAAGTACACCTGGCTACACTAATAATCCATGATGTTGACTCAGAGGATTCTGGGAGTTACACATGTGATGCCGGTGATCGTCGTAGCACTGCGCAGCTAACTGTGAAGGGTATGCTGTTGTTAGTAGTTTAAAGATAGTGGCAATAGTGACTTTTTGGTTTATCTTTATTAGAATGTTGCTCGAAATATTTGACTTGACCTTAGGGTTAATACTCTAAACTATAAACTAAAGTATGTAGCTTTGACTCAAACTTCTGCTGCTTACTTCTTCATATGTGCGAGTTGACGGCTAAAACTTGGCCTAAGTGTATTCTTTCATTTCTCCTAAAAAATTTCCCTAATTTTTTCTCACTTTTCTACAGCCAAGCCTGTCCTTTTCAAAACCCAGCTACAGAACCTTGAAGGACAAGCAGGAGAGAGCGCCTGTCTTCGTTGTGAAATCACAAAGCCGGGTGTCAGTGTGGTCTGGAGGTGTGGTGATCAGGTGCTGGCATCCAGCAGCAAGTATCACCTGAAGCAGGAAGGGACTGTAGTTGAGCTTATTATCTACAAACTGCAAGGAACTGACTCAGGAGAGTACTCCTGTGATACAGGCAGGCAGAAGACTTCAGCTGTCCTCACTGTGAAGGGTAGGATTTTTTTCTATTTAAGACTCCTCCTCCCATGCACTCTCTTGAGCTGGAGCCCAGTCATCCTTCATTTCCAACATACTCCCTCTTATTGACTATCTTCTCACAGAGCAACACTTGAGCATGAAGTGTTTTCGGTGTTCAAGAAAACCTGCTCGTCTCATATTCATTAGCACCTCACTCTTTTGTGCACTTCTTGTTATTTGTACGCACTTTTCTCTTGAGCTCAATCACTGATTTCACCATTTGAGCCTTTCACATTTTTGTCTTCACAAATATTAACAAACACTACTCTGTTTTCTTCACTTGGCACTGGTAATTGTAGCTCATCAGAAATCTTCATAAATGATCAACTTGAACTTCACCAAACGTTGTGTGCTTCTAAACTGTATTTGTCAAACAGAGGTCGAGGTTAAAATACTGAAATTCTTGGAGAGCTGCGTTGTGTTCGAGGGTGAAGATGTCTGCTTTGAGTGTCTGGTTTCTCATGAGGAGGCACCAATGGCACTGTGGAAACTCCAGGATGTCCCTCTGCAGAATAATGAAATGAACCTGATCAAGGTTGAGGGCCGGCTGCACAGCCTCACACTCAGAGGCGTCACTACAGCTGATTCAGGGACAGTAACTTTCACTGTGGGAAACCACACTTCCACAGCTTCTCTGACAGTCAGAGGTAAGGGAATTGTACGCAATGTATTCCTTGGGAACATCTTCCAGTTGGCTTCTACAATAATTTTGGGATTATCTTCTGCTCATTTGCTCTCAGTCTTCTTGTTTTTGGATACTTTCTCTCTGTTTTTTCAGAAGTTCTGAAAAGCAACAACTGTCTTGTTATCTTTTCATCTTGCTATGGCATCTAAAGAAAATTCTCACTTTCCATTACATTTCTATTTCCAGAGTACATGCATGCTTACCTTATTTTCCATTGAACTTGGAACTAATAAAACTCTTTTACTTTTCATTTTAGTACTAAAATTACATATCGGTCTTGTTGATCAATGTGTTTTCATCCAGTAAATTTTTATATATCACCGAATGCTGTTAGAACTGTTGTTTTACTTTTCTTCAGTTAAGCTGAAGCTGGAAGTGTTGAGTCTTTGACTTTTTCATGTTTGGAGTTACTTGGATTAAGGATTTAAGACATGCACCATGCACCACCAACAGCAAAACTGTTCTGATTGTTGAGTTTTTTTTGATTATTTGTATTTGTGACTTTCTTTAAACTTATGAATGGGTGGATTGTTGGTCTCCTTGGAGCACATTGATTGATTGTATGTAAATTTTGGAAGGACTGTGCAGCCTCGCTGTGGATTATCGTGTGTTTTCTGGTGTCAGTGTTCACTTTCTAAAGTTTTAAAGTCTGTCATCGTAATGAAATTGGTGTCTCTGGCAGCTGCACCTGTAGTATTCAAGAAGGAGCTGAAAAGTCAAGAGGCCAAAGAAGGAGGCGAAGCCTCTCTGTCCTGTGAGGTATCAAGCCCTGATCACAAGGTGACCTGGTGGAAGGGCTCAACTCTTCTCACACAGGGAGAGAAATACATCATGGAGCAAAAAGCAACCACTCACATTCTGATCATACACAAGCTGATCATGGAGGATAGTGGGGAATATACCTGTGATACTGGAGACCAGAAAAGCACTGCTACCCTGACTGTAAAAGGTAACAGAGCACATCTTCATCTATCATCTGTCTGTGTCTCTCATTTCCTCTCCTCTTGTCTTCATCCTTCCTGAAGTTCATATTCACCCCATTATCAAGTACTGGAGAAAAGTGTATCCTCTACTCACAGCTAATTCTCTTGGATTCACAGATTTAGAGAGTCCAGTGCTTTACTGGAATTATCTGATTTTATTTATATGCATTGTTGATAGTTTAGTAGCTCTAGGGTGTTAAAAACACCACTAGATCTATGTTTCTTAGATCTGGGAATGACATGTTGAGTAAGCATATGCCCTCACAGTCATGATGTCTGGAAGCTCTGCACAGAACTGATCTCTGATCTCTGATCATCCATCATCCCATTCACCCCCAGAGCATGTGCGAATCACTCGAGAACTCTGCGACATTACTGTGACCACTGGGAAAGACGCCGTCTTTGAGGTTGAGCTGTCACACTCTGGTGTCACCAATGGGGAATGGTGGCTTTCAGACAACCTGCTTCAAAATAATGATCTGAATCAAATGAGCATTATAGGGAGAGTGCACCGCTTGGTCCTCAAGATGGTAACCACGGATGAATCTGGAGATGTTGCCTTCGTGGTGGGAGAAGAGAAGAGTGTGGCCTGTCTTCTGGTGGAGGAAAAACCCAAAGGTAAAGGAGATGAGAGTTTTCACCCTCAGAGCCATCTTCATCAAAAAACACAAATTATTATTATTCTTTTTCAAATCCACTGGCATTTTACATTTTTTGTATTTTCATTAAATATATTTTATAGTATTTATTAATTTTAAAGGGCTGATAGAGGTACTTTAGCTCAACAAATCAATATTACTGTAAATTGTATGTTTTAAAACTGGGTAGTTTCAGATATATAATGTAGTTCTGCAGCATAGTTATTATTGTGACTGTATTTCCCATTTGGTGAGGTAATCCATTTCTTACATTAGTAACATTAAATTCTGTATGTAATTTTCATCCCTCTGCTTGTTATATTAGTCTAGCTAGACATGGATTTAAAGTCAATTTGACTGCTTGCTAGAAACATACAAACACAAGACAGTAATTCTATGTTTTTTTTTAATTGTCATATTATTTTATGTATAATTTGTGTTACAGTAGTGCACAGAAATCAAGAATGAAAGCATAATGCCAGTGCAGAACGGAAAAGGTTGCATATAAATGCTACTTGTCCTGTATTTGCAGTGCTAATATTAGAGAAGCCACACAACACTGTTGCATTAGAAGGTGAAACGGTCACTTTGGCCTGCACCATCTCTGACCCCAGTGGTAAGGTTACCTGGATCAAAAACAATGTGGCCCTCCAAGCGGGTCTCAAGTATGACCTGAAGAAGAATGCAGCATTTCATCAGCTTCGTATTCACAACCTGGTGGCCGACGATGCCGGAACGTATACCTGTGACACTGGGGATGCACAGTGTGATGTCACGCTGACTGTGGAAGGTAAAAACATTGGATTGAAATGGACAACTAAAATATTCTTGAACGTCCACCTCCTTCAACCACCCAGTATAGTCTGAAGCCCTCAGGGATGTTTCTCTCATCATCTCCACTATTTGACATCGAACTTGCCATCTCAATATGTTATATCAACCTTTCTTACTTTAAACTCTCACCAGGTGCTCCAGTCTTCTTCCAGACAGAGCTCAAGAACCAGGATGCCATAGAGGGTGATGATATTACTCTGCACTGTGAGCTCTCTAAGCCGAGTGTTTGTGTTGAGTGGAGGAAAGGAGGATTAGTCCTCCGGCCTGGTAAGAAGTATGAGATGAGACAGTCAGGGTGTATTCAAGAGCTCTGTATATGGAATCTGGAGCCTGATGACAGTGGCTACTACACCTGCGATGCAGGAGACCAGCTCACTACAGCTTCTTTAGCAGTGCAAGGTAGCCTCCTATTCAGTACTGTTGCAGTTTTTCTTAATTGTGAAACTTCTATCTGGCTCATATGTTGTGTGTTTTTTGTTTAGAGTTGGCATTATGATGATTATGAGTACATTTAAGGCTCAATGTATTCATATTTTCCACTCAACAGCAAAAGAAGTCTTCATTGTTTCTGGCCTTAAGTCCACCGATGTTTTTGTTGGCGAATGGGCAACTTTCTCCTGCCAGCTCTCTGGTAAAGCCCACAGCAAGGTGCAGTGGTGGCTGGATGGCAGCTTGTTGGAGAACAGCCCCTTTAGTGAGATAGGGCTGGCCCAGGGCCACATCCACACACTCACCTTAAAGAACCTGGCCACAGATGACTCTGGCACTGTCACCTTCAAAGCTGGCAGTTTAACATCAACAGCCAAGCTCTTGGTCAAAGGTATCATAAAAATGTTAACTGCAGACTGAGATAAGCTTTTTCCCAGAGACTGAGATAAAACAGTCTCTTGTGTCTTATACAATCTCTAAGGATCCTGCAGTGTTTTAATTCTACATTTAAAATCTTAATGGGTCAATTTTCCTACTTCAGTATTTCTTATTATTTTGAATTAAATAGTAGAAGCAGGAAACTAATATATTTATGTTTTCTATTTAATAACTGGCATTTACTACAACAAAATGTGCCATTCTTAGTGAAGAATATGGGGTTATATGCTATGAAATATAATTATATTTCATATATAATCATATTTTTACTGCAGGGTTCAGCTATTTGACATATTAATACTCCATCATGCATGAGAAGCAGTAGTTTGCATTTCATTAATAATAAGAAGTTATGTTTTATGCCATATGCTTTGATATAATCTAAAAAATACAACTGGGTGCAGCACCACAGTAAAGCTTTAGTAACCTTTTCGACTCAATTAACTAGTATTAAAAATGCTGCTCTTCTTTTAAATGTAGGGCTGCTGAAATGATGAAAAATAATAATCACGGTTATGTTTCTCACTTTGAAACACAATCAGATTTACTAATTTTGTGGAGCATTGTTATACCTTAAGAAGTACTTTCTGATGCATCATCATTGACGTGTAAACAATGAGTATAATTACACAATAGTGAAAAGGACAACTAGAGAGCAACTTGCAATGGGATCACACAAGCCCCCACACCTGGTCTGACTAAATCTAGCAACGTTGTGACAGTTTTGTTGATAAAATCCTTTACAAACAGATGTAAACATTAGTTTTCTAATGATGCTAGCCTTATATTGTTCACATTCAAGCTACAGTAGACAGACCTCACTTTGAGCCTGGTGTAAAACAGAACACAAAATGATTGATTCAGAGTGACGCTCTGGTCTAAAACCTCTCCCAAGGAGGTAATGTTTTTAGAGGCATTAGTGTGCATGTGTGTTTCCTACAAGGTCAGTAGATGGTTAAAGGAGGGTTAAAGTGACAATAATGATATATATGGAGGTATTTAAAACTATGTTTCTTACTGCCATCATTTGTATTGTCAGCAAATGGGCATGTGTGTGCATTGAGTTCTTCTTCAAGATAAAATAATGTTGAAACTTAATAATGATGATAATGTCTTTTATCTTTAAAAGTATGCTTTAAATTTTACTGCCTTTGTTTGTATTGACAACATTTGGGAAATAATACTGGTATACAGGGATAAAACATTTTAAATACAACATTATAGTTTGCATCCAAATATCATCTGAAATTTGAAAAATAATTCTCAAAATGATATCAAGTGTGTTAAAATGATTTTAACAAGGGAGGTGTCCAAAAGTACTTTTAGAAAGAGCAAAGAAAACAAAATGAATATATGCAAAATACAGTACTACTCTCTTGAAAAGTAAATACTGCCCAGGTTTGGACTCTCGGAGTGCTTCTTATTAGTTTAGTCTTCATTGTGAGTCCCTTGTGGTTTAGTCAGTCTAGCTATCAGGCTAGCTGACCTTTTGGCTGGTGGGTGGTGTTTCTGGTCCACATCCTGTGACTTTTTGTGTTTGATTTTCCTGCTTTAACATCTTGCCGGTTTTTTCATGCTCAATTTAAGGTTATATGCCCAGATTCAAGCTTTAATTACACTCGTATCTATACAGTATACTATTATCCATATTCTGACTGCAAATGTTGTAGCCAAACAGCTATTAAAGTTGTAAGCAGCTCCTTTTAACCATGCCTTCAACAACAGGGAAGGGAAGACCAATTAATACAAGAATGCTGAAAACAAGCATCATCAATCTGGGATTTCTTCATTCATTTTAAGCTTTTTAAAGCATGATCGTGATTATTACAATGTTAACCTGCAGCCCTAACTGTAAGTATCCCTCAGTAATGTAAATAACAAGCCTGTCTTATTTGATGTTTGGATTCAGTAAAAAAAACAAACATAATCTAGATCTGGCTTCTGTCATGTTAAAGTTCACAGATGGTGAACCAGAATATTGAAATGCTTGAAAGAAAGTGCTGCTCCACCCATCCATACAGGCCGGCTGCTCTCAAATAGTCATGCTCTATTCATCTCCTCTGTCCCAATCCTACCAAACCCTTCTTCTAACCTTCCAGCATTAAAATCTCTAACTCTTGTAGATACACTTTGAGTTTGGCATCTACTATCACTCCCTTCTTCTCTATGAGCTGCCAGTAAGTCTTGACCCTTGGTTGTGAACTTTGACTGTTGGACTTTTTGACCCCCTGAGAGCTTATGTAGTTTAATGCATTGGGCGATTTGAAAATACATAAAACATATACATAGAGTATTGATACCTTACAATCAGTAATTTCAAAATAATATCACTCACATATTTACACTCAGACATGCTTTTGGGGGTTATAAAGCTCTTATGTCAGTCGGCATGGCCCGCTTTTATCCTTACATCTCATGGCCAGGATTTGATCCTATGATCCCCTGACCCCAACCTCAGATCCCACAGTTGAAGTGGTGAGCGAGATGGAGGACCTTCGGGTGGTTGAAAACCAGCCGGCTGAGTTCATCTGCCAGTACTCAAGACCAGTGAAGGCTCAGTGGAAGAAAGATGGGCAGCCTTTGCAGCCTGATGGCCGAAGGGTGGTAGTGGAGCAGGACTGGAATGTGGCTCGCTTGTACATTAGCCATGTGTCTGCTGAGGACAGGGGCACATACTCCTGTGAGGCAGAGGGGACCTGCGTGGTCGCTTCACTTCATGTGGAAGGTGAGCTTCCCTCCACATGGAAAGAGCACCAGGCTTTACGGGATCTTCTCTGCTTCTTCCCAGAAAAACCAAAAACAGGCCTTTTACTGATCATCACAGCATTTTTGCTCTTGGTTGACAAAGGCTTAACTATTGTAACTACTAAGTTACCATGGTTTCTTGCTTTCTACAGCCAAACCCATTACCATTGTTCAGGGCCTGGAGAATGTGGACACTTTTGATGGAGGCGAAGCGCTCTTTGAGTGTGCCCTGTCTCGTCCTGAGAGCAAAAACTGCCAGTGGCTCCTTGATGGCAAACCACTGAAAGAATCCCCTAATGCTGAGGTTGTATCATTCGAGAGCGGTCGTCGCCATCTGCTCCTGCTGAAAGAGCTGCGCGTCAAAGACAGTTGCACGGTGACTTTCAGAGCTGGCGCAGCGTCCACATCTGCCCAGCTCACTGTTAAAGGTAAGTCATCAAAATGAAGACTGTACAACAGTGAAGCTGTAGTAATATTATAATCTTGACTTTAGTCAGCTGGGAATTACGACTTTCTTGTGGATTTTTCCCATGTAAGGTTGGCAGTTGGCCATTGTGAAGGGTTTGGAGGACAGAGTGGCTGCAGTGGGGGAGAAAGTCGAGTTCTGTGTTGAGCTCACGGAGGTGGTCCCTACGACAGAAGTGGTCTGGTATGCTAATGGAGTTGAGCTGAAGCCCAGTGATCTCTGGGCTATGAGGGCCGATGGTCGGTCTTACCGTCTTGTCCTGAGACAGGCGCCTCTTTTGCCCCAGCAGGAAATTACATTTGCTGCCAGAGATGCTATCTCTCTGGCCAAGCTCACCATCATCAGTAAGTGTTTAATGAATAACTTGCCTAAGATTACTTTTAAACAGTTGTAATTATAGTGTTTTTAATCTTCCAGTTAGGTGCTTTTTTTATGTTTTTAGATTGGAAATGTTACAGTAAATGATACATAAATCATAAATTCAATCTGCTAACCATATCTCTGTAAGGTATTAGACTATCTCTCTGCATATTTATTTATTTCAGTTATGTAATCTGTCATGTCTATGAAAAGATTAACAAATATCAATTTAAACCTGTATATAGAGTTTACTCCAATTTTTTGTAATTCTGAGTTTCGACCAGGGAGCGCAGAACCAGAATTAAAATTTTGGACAATTCGGGGTATAGTAGGAAGCTAAGGTAATAAAAATCTTTTGAAGAACTATGGAGCAGGTATGGCATACCATCAAAGCTTTTTCTTAATACCTCCAACTGTGAAGTTTTATATTAGCTAGGCAGTTCAGTAGTAGTTTGAAGGTCTCTTCTTTATCCACCACTGAAGATTTCACTTTGAAATTTGTACAGTCTAGTGGCCTGGTGGACGTCTTAAACAACATGTTTGCTAGTAGGTACAACGTGTCATTTCATAACATACTACATGCCACTAGTATGGAGAACAGATTTCAAATATTATGTAAACAAGAAACAATGGTCAGAAGTGTGGTCTTAAGTTCCAACACAAACTAGATATTCCAAATTTAGGCAATATAAATGGATAAATAGGCAATGCATTGCTCCAACAAGGCTGTGTTAACGCTAATACTTTCAACATTTGCATTAAATGTAAGAATCTTTGTTCCAACTTTATGTGGGAATGCCCTCTGATTCAATGTTTTTGAAAAAGGCTGCTGGAAATATGTAACCAAATTTCTGAGTAATAGATTCCTCTTAATTGTAATTTATGCTTAGTAAATATTTATCCCAGACGGTGCTGTGATCTCTAAGAATATCAGGTCTTTACTTAACTTCTGCTTTTTGGAAGCCAAACAGTACAGAGCTTTCTCTTTGAAGAAGCAGCAAACATGTGCAAGTTTACAGCGGCCTAAGCGAAATACATTCTTTAGAAAAGATAAGCTAACAAAAAACATGGAAAGTTCTGGAGCATTTGGAACACCTTCCATATAACTTTCATAACAGATTAACACTGTAGAGTATTTGGTTTTCAATTAGTGTTCATAAATATATCCAATGGCGGTTTTTCTTTTTCCCTTCCCCATAGCTGTGCCTGATCCTCCAGAGGATCCGGAGGTCCTCAGTAAGACAAAAAAGTCTGTTACCCTCTCTTGGTTCACACCTTTGCATGATGGAGGAAGTCCCATTCTGGGCTACAGAGTGGAGATCCGAATGGTAGACAGTGCCCTTTGGCTTCCATGTCATTCTGAGCCTGTGCGTAACACCGAATTTGTGGTTGAAAATCTCAGTCCAGGCAGTGCCTACAGGTTTAGAGTGGCAGCCATCAACAGAGCAGGGATAGGGGAGCCTGTTGAGCTGCCTCAGACTGTTCAGCTTGGTGAGTGAATGTACGCTTCACTTAACACAACAGTGTAGCTGCTTTTTTCTGTGATGTTGTGTTTATAATTGCAATTGCAGTTCATGTTTTATGTCACATGGTGGTATGAGATTGAGCTTTATGCAACTGCAACATTCTAGCCAAAGATGTAATGCTAGAAACCAAGGAATTTTGATATTTTATAAACTTTAATATCATTTGTTTTTTTTCTCTTCTTGAAACACAGAAGCACCTCCTCTGCCACCGATTACTCCAGGTAGGTCACTGTACGCTGTATATGTGGTACTTTTTGTATTTCTCCACAAGCTCTGCTGTAGCCCTAATGTAGCCCTGCACATAAATATTAAATGTTAGGATTAAGCACCAATTAAAGAGGGCGTGGTGCTGTATGGACCATAACTGTAACTCCATTGTGGTCATATGTGTAGATGCAAAACAGGAAGTGACCGAGGCACTGGGACAGCCCAGTCTTCCTCCTGAGGCTGCTGAAGAAGGTGATCTCCATGAACTTTGGGAAGCATCAGCCAAGAAACGACGCATGAGTCGGGAGCCAACTCTGGACTCCATCTCTGAACAACCAGAGGAGGATGGCAAAAGGGGTCAGAGCAAATTAGACCAGAATCAGCTTCCACAATCTGAGAAAGTGGAAGTCAAATCAGCAGAGAAGGAGCAGGCCATTGTGTCAAAGAAGCAGACAGAAACCAGCCTGTGCACCAGCTCTGAGGATGAGTCTGTTTCTGGGGGTTCGACACTTGTTTCCTACCTCAAAAAGAGCAGCAAGACTACTGAGACAGTGACAAAGGAAGCAGATACTCTAGCCACTGAGAGGTTCTTTGCACATTTCCAAATGTCAGAGCAGAAAACTGTGCAGCAGACAGAAGTGAAAACAACTGTAGCTCAGCAAACCCAAGAAAAACACGTGTCTACAGAGGAAACTAGCATCATGGAGATCGGTAAAGAGGATGACCCTGAGCTCAGAGAAGCTGCTGTTAAGATTCAAGCTGCCTTCAAGGGGTACAAGGCCCGCAAGGACATGCGTCCTGTTTTTAAAGAAGTCTTCAAAGACCAGACTAAAGAACCTAATGGCACCATACATCTGGAATGTGTGACAGAAGGTAAACCTGATAAGGTCCGCTGGCTGAAAGATGGAGAACCACTGACGGATGGCAAGCATCATCATATTGATATCTATAATGATGGCACCTGCTCACTGGTCATTACTGCAATCACCACCAAGGACACTGGAGTTTACACATGTGAAGCCACTAACAAGTTTGGGGTAGCTTCTCACAGTGGTAAGGTGACTGTGGGAACGGTAAGAGAATCATCGGGCCGACGGCCGCTTACTGTAGGTTACAGTGCTGACAGTGAGCCTGAGAGCTCCTCCGGAAGTGAGATGGATGAATCGCTGAGACAGGCAAGCAGACGCCTCCGGCGCCTGTTGCGCACGCGTCTCCCACCAGATGTTGAGGAAGAACCATTTGTCAGTGCAGATGAAGGAGACTTGCGAGCCCCAGACCCACAATCTTACCGTGAAGATGACAATTATATCTACATTCGTTTTGATTCACGGACAGAAGCTGAAGTTGCCTCTACGAGATTTCAGGAGATGTTTACAGTCCATGGGGTTCCTGTGGAGACCACAATCTTACCTGCAGGGCCTCACAAAGTGGAGCTGCGAATTAAAAAGATGAGCTACATACAAGATGGTACACAGACGCCCACACAAGATAGACAGCCTCCTGCTTTCATGACTGGAGCTCCAGGTAAGAAGCAGCTTGTTCTCTGTTAATCATAACTTTCTTTATTCTTACACACATTTTGTCTGGTTAGTAATGCACCAAGTTCAATACACCAAGAATAGTTTCTCTGTAAGGGGTGGGATTTTTATATTTGCTTTCCGTTTGCTCTTGTTGCCAGCTGCACCGGTCTTCTTAACCGAGCTACAAAGTCAGGATGTTCCAGACGGTTATCCAGTCAGCTTTGACTGTGTTGTGATTGGCAAGCCACCTCCCACTGTTCGCTGGTATAAGGATGGCAAGCTGCTGGAGGAGAACGACCATTACATGATCAATGAAGACCAGGAGGGCTGCCACCAACTTATCATCACCACTGTGTTGCCTACTGATATGGGGGTCTATCGCTGCACAGCTGAAAACAGCAGTGGCATTGCATCTACTAAAGCTGAACTCAGGGTTGACAGTAAGTGAACAGATGATACAAGAAACACACATTTGCTTTTTAAATACCTGTCCTGGGATAATTGACCAGGCAAACTGTACAGCATGTGTACATCTTTAATGACTTAAAAAAGGAGAATTTGGTGTACAAATTTGAATTTATTTTGGACACCAAATTCTTGTTTTTTGAAGTTATTGAGATGTATGCTGTACATCATTCCACCCTGGAAAAAGAACAGTTCAAAGAAAGCATTAAATGTGGCGACTGTGGTTCAGGGGGTTGGGAAGCTTATCTTGTAACCAGAAGGTTGCCGGTTTGATCCCCAGCTCTATCTGTCTTGGACAAGACACAGACCTACTGCCTACTGATGATGGCCAGAGGGGCCAATGGCGCGATATGGCAGCCTTGCTTCTGTCAGTCTGCTACAGCTGTAGCTTGCCTCCACCAGTGTGTGAATGTGAGAGTGGAATTGTAAAGCGCTTTGAGGGTCTCGAAAAGGCTATATAAATGCAATCCATTATTATTGTTATTGTTAAAAGGGCAAAATTACTACAATATTCATGCCTGTAAATGTATGCAAACTTCTGCATAGCTTGTTTTTTTTTTAAACAGAAGAGAACTTCAGACAAAGTCAGAGCAAAACTAGCATGCAGAATATGTGAGATGGACCTTGAGCCTTCCCTAATATAAAGGCAGGTTTCTCACCCTGCCTTTATATTAGGCAGGGGTAAAAAAAACAACAAAAACAAACCCACAAAACCTACAGCTATACAGATGTAGCATTTAACTGAAGCATGAAGCTAATTTCCGAACCATAAATCAACATCTTAAAAAAGCAGAGTCCCTTTACACCTTAAGCATTGTATAACACTATAATAAAATTCCTCCATCAGTGTCTTGCAGCTCAGATTATGACACTGCTGCTGATGCCACTGAGACGTCTTCTTACGTTAGTGCCAAAGGATACATGTCCAGGTAAATTTATTTATTTATTTATTTATTTATATGAACTAAACCTTTATATTGAGGCCTTCACATACAGTTATAGATATACTGGAGCTGCTGTGCTTTACTCTCCTCCAACAGGGAAACTGAGACCTTTGAGTCTGTAGCTGAAGATGATCAGCTACCGCAGGTTGTGGAGGAGCTTCATGATGTTCACGTCTGTCCAGGTTCACCTATTGCAAAGATGCAGCTTAAAGTAAAGGGTAAAGTAAAGATTTGTTAATCCATCCCAGTGTTCTAAAAACATAGCATATGATTTAAGAATAATGTTTGTAAAATTTTTGTTGTTTTCCAGGTTTCCCAAAACCCAGAATATACTGGTTCAAAGATGGCCACCCTCTACGACCTTCAGAAAGAATTCATTTGTTAGCAGAGCGAGACGTTCATGGCGTGGAGATCACGGAGGTGAAAAAAGAGGATATGGGGGAGTACTCCGTCTACATCAGCAATGCAGCTGGTTCTGCTTACTCCTCTGCCCGGATGATAGTATTGAGTATGTATACACGTGCCTGAATACAAAATACAAATCTCAAATGAAACGATGAGATACATTTTATACATTTGCAACACTTTTTGCAACAGGTCCTGGGGAGATTTTACCACAAGAGAAAAAGGGTAATTTAACATTTATCCTACAAACCACAGCACAAGTATATCTACTTTCAGTAGACATGTCCATATATTCAAAATGTCACGTTATACACTTTATTCTCACAGACCCTAAAGAGCCCCTGGTGCCACCCCGCTTCATTGAAAGGTTCAGCAATAGGAAGGTGAAACAAGGAACAAGCATCACTCTGTCTGTGAAAGTAGAAGGTGCGTTACTACACTTTTCTAGATAAGAAGAAAGTCTAGATTTTGGGCTCTACCTGCCACGCAGCATTATTACAAAGTCTCCATAATCACCCTTCTTCTCTCTTAGGATCTCCTACTCCCATGGTCAACTGGCTAAAGGAGGAATCTTTGGAGGATGTCCTGTGGATCAAGCCTGACACTAAAGGATACAAAATAGCAAGCTCTGGGCGCCACCACAGTCTCATCTTGATGGATGTGGGCACAGAGTACACTGGTGCCTACACCTGCATTGCAACAAATAAAGCTGGACAGTCCATCTGCACTGCTCACTTGGAGGTGGATGAGAGTAAGGAGAATAACGTCATCAAGACACTTTATTTTGAAATGACAGGTTAAATGAGTGTCTTCTTATATCAGAAACACTTAGCAGAGCACTTTTCAAACCACTCTTCCGCTTCTTTTCTCCCTCCTCTCTAGCTCCTCAGCCCAAGAAAGAGACAGCGGCTTCAGAGTAAGTTATTTTTGAAACCTTTTGATTGCCTTGCACATAAAAAGATGTCTGTAGTAAGTACATTTAATATAAATGTAAATACATGACAAATTTTAATACTGAAATCCGCTCAGGGTTCTTGGGATTACAGTTAGTCCTCCACAGGAAGATACTAGCAGAGGAAAAGGTAAGACGTACTAGCTAATCATCAGGCCCAGTAATGTTTATTTTTGATAAGATATATAAATGCATAAAAATAAATGTTAAGATATTTATGGTGTTCTTTGCTTTTTGCCAACCCTTAAGAGGGCAAAATGCCTTTCCTAGGTGAAGTAGGTTCAGAGGAATTCCTCATGAAACTCACCTCTCAGATCACTGAAATGGTATCAGCCAAGATCACCCAAGGTAAGTTGACCATTATAGCTCTGCATTAAATATTCAGAGACTAATGAGTTCATAGTACTTTATAAAATACAAACCTTTATGTCCATAAGGCATTTCAGAACTGGTCTATTCCGGCTTCAAGTCTGGTTTAAATCAAGATAAATGAATGATTATGCTAGCATTGGACTGTAGCTTCTTCTAAACAAGTCTCATAAACAGTTTAAATTAGGATATAGTTAAAAAAAACAAAAGGTTTCACCTCAAGAGAACATACATTCTCAGGAGAACAAACATTAAATTATATGACTTGAACGATCACAACACCTTCAATCTCTTAAATTACCTTGTGTCTATAGTTGTACTAAAAATGTGCAGGTTAACTATCAATATTCCCTCTGCAGTGACTGCATTTGGTAGTTACTAATGCTGAAGACTGAAGTATGGATCATAAATTATGTTGCATACAGTGCTTCTGTTGCATTGCTCTGTTATTTTCTTGTCAGGTTTGGTTGAATTCTTTGAATTCATTCTGGCTGTTTAAGAAATGTTTAATAATCCGAATGCTTTAATGCTTAAATACTGAACTGGCTATCACTTTCCTTTGTTTCTGAACACCAAACCTGACCGAGGAATGTTTCTTAGTGCCATGTTAGTGCTTATCTAGTGCACGCTTTAGTTTATTTATGCATTTATGACATAAAATCTCCCATTCCTTCATACAGACATCATTTCCTAACCACCTTTACACCCATTAGTTTATCACTCCCACTAAATAAATACTCATTAAATGATTAATTTGTTATTCAGACAGTTTACAGAATCATGAAGTGCTCCAGTGGATGAAATCTTGGCCCAAATCTGCCAGTATGTATCCCAAGTGCATCAGCATCACAGATACTCTGCAGTTTTCCACTGAAATATTTTCTATCTATTAATAATGACTTTATAAAACAGTTTTCCTTACATTTCCTTTTACATACAAGAAATATTTAGTTATACATACAACAACTATATTTCAGTGTCAGCTTAATAACAGCTAAGCCATCCCCTTTTATTTCTATTAGTGCCCTCTATATCTCCTTACTCATCTTCAATGAGTTTCCTCATCCTTTCTCTTGTTACTAAAATAGTTTTTGCAATAACCTATGAAGCTTCTGTATAAGTGGAATACATGCTCACCAAGCAGACATGTATGTGGAGAGCTGAGATAAAAGTGAAGCTGCATGTTGTCATGATACTAATACAGTAATACATGTTAGAGCGTTAGAATGATTAACCACTGTGGATTTCTCCCTTCTGTTTTTGCATCGTAAAAACGATGTCGTTACTTCAGTATACAGAAAAATTCAAAATGACCAGGTAAATACAACACTGGTACACGCTAGCACACAGTTATGGTTTTAAATATATATTTAAGCTGATGGACCTGAGTGAGTGTGGGTACTAATACCTACTGCATAGGTTTAAAGGACAGATTATACTAATTGGACATTTCCGTACGATTGACCTGTCTTCCTTTGACTTCCTCCTTACTGCTCCAGCTTCATTACGCGTACCAGGTGGTGACAGTGATGATGAGACCAAGACACCTTCTCCATCACCTCATCACGGTCGCTCCCGTCCTCCCTCCCTCATTGCTGACTCCTCCTCTGAGTCTGATGAAGGAGACGCCAGGGGAGAGGTGAGATACAAAAAAATTTCCATTAAGTTCATAATGTTCATAAATTTTTGGCCTTTATATCAGAATTTTATCAATTAAATTCTGACACACCATGGCAGGATACTATATAAAACAAGGAAATGAAAGTTTTAATGGTGCAGTTTATTTGAAGAAATAAAGGGAAATTCAATTAAGTTTTTTTTTTTAGACAGGTGTGAATGGTTATCTGTCTCTGTGTGTTAGCCTAGGCAGATTGGTATTCTGTCTCTCACCCTCTGACAGCTGGGATAGCTTCCAGTCCCCCTGCAATCCTGTCATTAATACACACATATATATATATATATTTTTTTTATAGATGTTTGATATCTATGTAGCAACAGCTGATTACAACCCCATCGTGGCAAGCAAAGATTCCATCTCTCTAAAAGAGGGACAGTATGTTGAGGTTTTGGACTCGGCTCACCCACTCAAGTGGTTAGTTCGGACCAAACCCACCAAAACGACACCATCCCGCCAAGGCTGGGTCTCACCGGCCTACCTGGACAAAAAACTCAAAGTATGTCTCAAGACAATTGCTTCCAGCTTGCCACTGCATGTTGCATGCATTGGGTAATATTTAAAAAAAAAAAAATTTAATTTCTATTACAGCTCTCCGCTGATGCTGGCGATCTTCCAGAAACAAGTGTGGAAGAGGTGTCTGAAGGAGAATACAAGAGAAAATTATTGTAAGTGAAGCATATTTGTCGTGACAAAGCAAACCAACCAAAGAACCATAATAAACTATTAATTTGTGCTTCTAGCCAACTGATCCAGGAACTGATAAACGGAGAATCAGAGTTTGTCAAGGAGGTGGAATTCTTCACCTCCCATCACCTGAAGCATGCAGACAGTTCTGATGCACCGCCTGACGTCACCAGCCAGAAAGAGGCTATTTTCAGAAACATTGATGATATCAAATCCTTCCATAACAAGTGAGCTCACCTCTTAAATGTTATTTTCAGCCATTTTTTAGTATAATCAGAAGTATGCGTGTGTGTATGCATCATTCCTATGATTTTCTTTTTAGGGCATTCCTTCCGAAGTTGAATGACTGCGACACTGATGACGACATAGCCATGTGTTTTCTGAAGAACAAGGAGGGCTTTGAGAAGTACCTTCAGTATCTTGTAGGTCAGAGTCAGGCTGAATCTGCCATCAGTGACAAGACTGTCCACAGCTTCTTTAAGGTGACAGCAGAATAGCAGAATTGTTATTGCTATACTATGAATTACAAATGTGCCAACTGTTAAAATCTTTTTTTTAAAACCCCAAAAAACAGGAATATACTGACACAGCGCAGGCTAATTCAGACCCTGCAGATCCACCAGTAAGAAGCATAAATGCCTATCTCCAACAACCACTGGAGAGGATTCAGAAGTACAAGGCCTTCCTGAAGGTAATAAAGTGCATGCATACAATCATCTTAGAGTCAGTTATTTACTTTTCAGTCATTTGCTTTTAGAACCTTTAAATTATGTCCAGGATCAGTGTAACATTTAAGTTTTGTTGAAATTTCTGCTGCAACATCTTCAGGAGCTCATTCGAAACAAAGCAAGAAATGGTCAGAACTGCTGCCTGCTGGAAGAAGCTTTTGCAATGGTGTCTGCACTCCCTCAGCGTTCTGAGAATACACACCATGTCTCCATGATTGAGAACTATCCTGCCACACTCGAAGTTCTTGGAGAACCAATTAGACAGGTACCACGTAGCTGCCGACTGTGCAGGGTCTTGATTAGACATAAGCGTTTGACTGTCTGCATATGCTTACTCTCTCCCACCAGGGGCCTTTCCAAGTGTGGGAGGGTGCTCCTGGAATTAGAACGTCCTCTAGAGGTCACCACCGTCACGTCTTCCTCTTTAAGAACTACTGCATTATCTGCAAGCCCAAGAGAGACAGCAACACTGATACACAAGCATATATTTTCAAGAACATGATGAAGGTAAGTGTTTTTAACATAATCTAGTTTCATCTTTTCTTTCATGGTCAGCGGCCTAAATGATGTTGGTTGGTTTCTTTATCTTGTTTCAGCTGAATAACATTGATGTGAATGAGACAGTGGAGGGTGATGACCGTGCCTTTGAGATTTGGCATGAGCGCGAGGATTCTGTGAGGAAGTACACCTTACAAGCCCGAACTGTTACCATCAAGAACTCGTGGCTGAGAGACCTCAGAGAACTGCAGCAGCGATACAGCATGCCTGCATGGAGTGAGTGGGACTCCATGCAGTTTTACTTTTTTCTTTACCTCTCTATTGCTTGGAATTTCTAGCACAGCTTTTTATACCAAACTATTTTCCAGGTTCCCCTGATTTTGATGAAATTCTGGCAAACTGCACAGCAGAGCTGGGCCAGACTGTTAAGCTGGCCTGCAAAGTTACTGGAGTACCCAAACCTGCGGTTACCTGGTACAAGGGTGAGGCATTTCCTCTGTGGTTATTAGCCATGTGGAGTGACATTCAAAGATTGTTTCACGAGTGGTTTTGTTTACTTGTTGGATGCAGATGGACGCGCAGTGGGGGCAGATCCTCATCACATCATCATCGAGGACCCTGATGGTTCCTGCACACTAATCCTGGACAATATGACTGCAGATGATTCTGGTCAGTACATGTGCTTTGCCACAAGTCCAGCTGGCAATGCCAGTACTCTGGGAAAGATCACAGTTCAGGGTAAGTGGCACATCATACCTATATATAGGTAGATTGTTTTCTACTGCTTCATTACACTTTTCTTGTGAAAAATGATGAATAGTCTAAAACATAAAACGTTGTCATGTGTTTCTTTTAGTACCTCCTCGTTTTGTAAATAAAATAAGGAATGCCATCTTTGTTGCCGGTGAGGACGCTCAGTTCACCTGTGTAATACAAAGCGCCCCCAAGCCCAAAGTGAGGTATGGATACCTTCCTTATGTTTTCTTCTTTCCTTCATTTTGATTCAGTTTTGCAATTTTTTTTGAATATCAACCCCGTCCTCTAATCTTGTCTCCTCTCTGCATGTGTCCCTGTTCAAGGTGGTTCAGGGAGGGCAGGCTGCTGACTGACCAGCAGAAATATCAGACCTACAGTGAGCTCCGGAGTGGCGTTCTGGTTCTGGTAATCAAAAACCTGACAGAGAGAGACCTTGGGCACTATGAGTGCGAGGTTGGTCTAGACTAATTCATTTCCATTTATCTGTATTAGTTTTGTGACATTTCAGAGTGTACATAATCTCTGGGCAATCACTTAGTAAGGTTAAGACCATACAGCATTACATAGAGAGATCCAACTATTTGAAAGCCCTGTTGCAAGTAACAGTAAAATAAATACATTTAAGAGGAAGAAATGTCTGGCATGAAGAGGCTCTGGGAGGGCAGTTATAATATGTGAGACAGGGAGACTCGTGAACCTCGAGTTTTGTACACTTAATGTTAAATGATTGACAGAAGTACTCCAAATATATTAGGATAATTAAAACTATTAAGATCTATTTGTTCAGAATTTGGAGCTCTACAGTAAGAGGTCTCAATACAAGAAAATATCTCAGATAATTACAAAAATAAAATTTCCTTTATTTTTAAGGGTCAATGAGGGGAGATTTTAATGTAGGTCATGCATTTGCCTTTGTGCCTATAAATTAGTTTCAAGATAGTTGATATTAATTAGCAGCAGTGAGTTACATTTATGACTCTAAAAATATATCTGTTGGATTTCAGTTGTCAAACCGTCTGGGCAGTGCAAAGTGTGCTGCTGACTTGGTCCTCCCCTCCGCTGTGGCTCGCTCTGGTGAGCAGGCCATCACCATTGAAGGTAGCAAGTCTGGCTTTATCCATACAGTCTTACTCTTTTTGGACGTTTTGTGGTTTTTGTTGAGCAGAAAATGCTTTGAGTGCAGCTTTAGCAATGCAAAATAACCATCATGCTTTGTCCATGTTCCTCCCACAGTTACCGAGCAGGAGACGAAAATACCAAAGAAAACCATCATCATGTAAGTATGATCAAAGTAAGATGAATGCTGTCAGGTAGGAATAGTTGGATGTTGAAAAATCGTGGATTTTCTTAACTTAACACTACAGTATACTTTAATAAAATAATTTCTATATAATATATATTTTAGGAATCTTTAAGGGGGTTCTTTTAAGATAAAGTTCCACTGCAGTTTTTGGGTTCATGTATCCGTGTAGGTATTGCTTTTATTATTAGATAACATTGCCCATCATAGGGCATTTGGGGTATTTTTCTGTATGTGTGTGTGTGTGTGTTTTCCCCCTCTGGCTCCATGTATGCATTGTGTAGTATTTATAGCCTCGATGCAAAAGGAATCTATCACAAGGATAATGAAAGGGTGGGCTGTTCTCATCAGGGTGCTGTCTACTTCAACTGTCAGCCTAATTACTGCAGCTTATTACTATCATATTATTTTTAAATCCAAGACTCCAAGCAAGGTGGATTTTATTTACATAGGCCTAATGCACTTCTTATTCCAGTGAGGAGACTATAACCACCGTGGTGAAGAATCCTCGAATGAGAAGACACAGATCACCTGGCTTGACTCTTGCTGGTGTCCACCGCTCTGAGACTTCCACCCCCGAGCCTCCTACAGCAAGGACAAGGAGGATGCCCACTCCAAGAAAGACCACTATCCCAACTCTCTATGTTACTGATCCCCAGGGGGCGGAAGCCAGGGGAATAGAGAGCAAGCCCAGGTGGGTTGAAGTAGAAGAGGTCATCGAGTATAAGGTCAATAAGTCTCCCAGGTTGTCCAGGAGGAGAGGTATTTCGCCAGCAGGGTCTGATCGTGCAGGCACACCCTCGAGACCCAAAAGGTCTCCAGTGGAAAACCCAAATGCTAACAATTCCAACAACAAGCTTGTGGAGCAAGCACAAGCCCACCTGCAGGGAGACATCAGCAGCCAGCCGCTCTCCTGGGAGGAAGAGGTGACTGATGCTGCATCTGGGTCTGCTTCTGGGGAGCCGCACGAGCTCTCTTCTGTCCTCGCTACAGCTGGAGAAGATCACGACGACCAGGATGATGAACAAACTGTAATTTTTGAACCCGATGATGAGGAGGATACATCTGCAAGAAAGCAAGAGCCTGTGTTCCTTAAACAAGGAGATCATGTTTTAACCCTTGAGGACTTGGAGGATTACGTCCCAGAGGAAGGAGAGACTTATGGCTCCTCCCACACGCAACACGTTGACGAAAAGCCGTGTGAGATCTCTGTACTTCAGAGAGAGATTGGCGGTTCTACAGTGGGACAGCCGGTGCTTCTCAACGTGGGCCGGCCTGATTCGGTGCCCCGGCAAAGGACTGGCTTCTTTAGTCGGTTCAGGGAGAATCTCTCCAGCAGCCTTTTCTCATCTGCTGTCCCACCGCAGGCCAGGGAGGCTCGGCCCAGGGCGGAGAGGAACGTGCCTATTCAAGTGAGCCATGCAAAGCTGGAAGTGAAGCCTTCTTACTGCTCAGAGGTGCAGAGAGTTGAGGGCAGGCAGCAAAGTTTTAAAACCAAAGTGTCAACTCAGACCTATGGTTACACATCAGTTGGCAATCCTGTCACTCTTCAAATTAGAGATGACCTTTATCAGAACCAGTGAAAAGCAAACATTTAATTTGGCATCACAAACCCTCTTAGTCTTAAATAGGGACATTCACTATACATGAAAATACAGATCGTAACCTGAGCAACATTTACTGCATTTGACAAACCATTCCATTTTTAGCCTGCCAATCAGATAATAGTGTCCTCCTTAGATATTTTCTTGACAGATTGTTAGACTCTACTGTCGCTTACAGATGAGATGGAAACTATAGGGATAATGGTTTCACTGTAGGCAGGTTTCAGTCTGATGCTGTTCTGCTATGAAACATATACATGTTGTGTGATGTACAATATGCATGATGGGCAGAAGCTAAGAAAGGTCTGACATTTACTGATTAAAACCTTCATATCTAATGGTGAGTTGAAGTCTTTAAATAAAAGAAATGTTTTTTGGTTATACATACAGTGATTGACAAATTTATGAGACTGCCACCCCCAGTGTAAGGTTTATGTCACAGCTTCCTAAATTAACCGTACTGGTGATTACCAAAATCAGTTTTATGTTTCTGTGATGGTGAATCCACTGGCATGCCATATTACAGTTATTTACTCGCATGATTGTTATAATTAATTTGTGACTGAGAAGAAATCTAGTGTCTATTTTTTATTGGTCTTTATTGGGTATAAAATGCATTTTTGAGAGATAACAAATTACAGTGATGTTTAACAGTGTACCTACGCTGAATGATCAGCTTTACTCCCCAGTATTAACTGATCCAGATGTAATCCTTAGTCCATTGCAACATACATGAATAGGATTTTTTCAGGTTTTACTTTGGTACCATTCAGGTCATGCTATGGCACTTTGGATTCCTGGAGCTGGAAATATTGGGAGGTAATGAGATGCATGTTTCAAGTAAGCAACACTGAATATAAAAGTAGTGTAAACTTGGGGACTGTTGTGTTTCAGGTCCTGTTAGTTAATCAAATTGGAGAATCACAAGTCTCTACTACATTATTTTGTGGTGTTGTGAATGATTCCTTAGTGAGCAGTTTATAAACGTGACATTTGTGCGAGCAAATCATTTGGTAGGTGAACAGATGCCTGTTTCCAAGTTCCTACCATCAACTAACTGAATTTTTTACTCAACTTTTTTGGCATTTGTGTCTGCTAGTGCAGTGAAACAGCCTGTAAACTCAGGCTGTTACAGGGATATTCCTATGCAAGTGACAAATATGTAGATGAGTGACTGCATGTATTTGCTTCTCCAAGACAGATGTGTTTCTCTAGAATAACCAGTTGTCATCCTATATTTGATTGAGCGCAGATGTTTATGCAAAGTACTTCAGCTGACATAATTTACTAACTTTTTAGTGCAATTTAAAAGTAACTAGAGTAACTTCCTAATTAAACATGTGTGGTGTTTGTGTTGATCAAAAGGTGTCTGTTAAAAGGATGATTTTATGTAATAATTTTAAATCACAAACTGATTGTACTTGCTTGTACTGTACATGTGTAGTTTTGGACAAAACATGGTTGAGTACAACGTGTTCAATTGAATAAAAGTACTGCAAATACGCCACATAATTAGCTTCTGTAGTAATTTCTTTATATAGCACAAATTCGGCATTGTTGTATGGTAACATTTACTGATGTTTCAACATGAAAGTCATAGTGCTGAGTACATGTTTACAACAAGCACATTTCTATAACAGCTAGTTTGGTTTTAAAGAGGCCTTCGTGCATTTGTTCAGCATGATGTAACATTTGTGAGACTTGAATTTAAATAGTAGCATCAGGAACATAAAGTACTCTGAGCAAAGGAATGAATGTTACAAGGTACAGGAATATAACGATTTAGGCATAATTCACTATCCAATCTAAAAAGGAAAATTTTAAAATATTTACTGTTTTCTCAATTCTAAGCAATAAAAAAAGCAACAAATTCGCTGTCATTTTACTGTACAGCTAAAACTGAAAACTGAAACTTACACAATATAAAGTTTTCACAAATGTACAACATTAAATAAACACGTGTTATAAAAGAATACAATGTAGTTGTACTGTTTCTAACTCTGTGATGGGATTCAATTCTACATGAGCACAGCAGTTTTTAGCTTTCCAGCAAACAAAGTGTGAGGAACCAGGACATTACCTGCCAAGTTATATAACATAATAAAAACATAAAGCGTTTACCAACTCTGGAATAATGTTACTGTTTCAAAGGTATAGCTGACTTGTATGTATCCCCTAAAAGTAAAGAGTCACCACATGTTCCTGATAGGCTTGGGCAATATAGAGTCTTTCATACCTTCCTCACAATTCAGCAAGTATACGATTACACTTATGTAAATAAACTAGAAGGTGATGATGACAGATGACACTTCAGGTAGGAGGGTGAGAGATTAGCTGGCTGAATGCTTAATCTCTCTCACCCTCGCTAGCTGGCACCAGAAATATTAGTTTATGAAACTCATGAACATTATAAGAACACAACACTGGTTCACGATTAGGTTAAGCAGCTATCTGCCAAATTAAAAATAAAATAAAATCAGCTTTCCTGATTATTTTGATCTTGACAATGAACAGTTGTGTCAGAATAAATGGCTTAACTACACAGCCAGAGCGTAGCAACACTACTCAGTACAGGCAGGTGGTGCTCATTTTGAACTATGACAATCTTTAGGCGTAAATCTTTCAAAGCAAACTGTTTATCTTCAGGGAGATGAGACTAAACTCGAAATCCACCCCAACATTTTCAACTGCCATGTTTCATAGCTCACTCAGTGAGTGACGAGTGCTGTGCGCTACAATATGACCTAAATACATCACATAAGTATAACACAAAGGAGTGTCTGTATTTTTAACAGTACAGAAAGTACTCTGTCTAAAAAAAAAAATAGCCTGGTACGACACGATACTAAGATACTGCCCAAACCTACTTACCAAATTTTAAAGGGGGGCCCGAGTGCTGGTTTTAATCTCTAACTCTGACCATCACTTGTGTATTTCACTGCATCTAAGACATTAAACATCAACACAGTGTAGCTGGTTGCAAAAGACGGAAAGAAACCCCGCCCCCCTCAAAAGAAACTAATCCTTGAAAACCCAGTCTGTCCAGATGATGCAATGAATCATACTTCTGCAAAAGAATTACGGTTGCACACAGTATTTTCTGTCTGCATCAAATTGTTCCCGCTTATCATGCCAGTTGTACTTCAAGTAAGAGTTCTCAGAGTGTCTCCTCTTCAGTGTAAAAATAAAAATGTGAAAAGCACTTTGTCTGTAAAAACAAATTAAATAAAAATGTCCCACTTTACACCAAGTTATTTATTAGTAACTACTTCTAAACAAAAGCTGTTTGTATATCTGCTGAAGGAAATTGTCCTAGTTTCAAAGACCACTATCTGAGGGAATGTACAAGAGTGGAAAAGTGTGTGTCGGTGGAGTGGCTGAACGACGACCATGATGCTGCTTTCTCCTATGTGGATGCTGCTTTCTCCTATGTGGATGCTGCTTTCTCCTATGTGGATGCTGCTTTCTCCTATGTGGATGCTGCTTTCTCCTATGAGGACACTTTCTTGACCTTATCAATTTCCTGCAGGAAAAAAAAAGGTTTTATAATTAGTCAGGGAACACATCGATCTGTGGCAAGAAACTAAGAACAGACTAAGAACATGAAAGCAAGCCTATGCAACGTTTGCTGAACAGTAATCACTCTGGCTGCAAGTAGTTTTTTTACAGGATGTGGTCCAAATATTTTTCTTATCCATAACCTACCAGTTATAACGGACGAAAACCTTTTGAGCTAACGGGATTCAGTAAAGGTTTATTCTTCATCAACTTTTAGTAACATCTTTCTGACAAACATCTAAGGTTAAATGCATTTTACACAAGTCCATCTAGTACAGAGGGCTTACTATAAATTTAAAACCTCTCTGAAATGATTGAAACCTGTAATGACTGCAGTCATTCTCAATTTGATTAGATTGCCATCAGATTCATAAAGTTCGGACAGAATTTTTGTTTCAGAGGTTCCATGAGGTCCTGGTGGACTGAATGTGAACAGTTAATATCAAATTTCTGTTTAATGTGAATTTCTTTGTATGCAGATGGCAACAGATTTGCACTTTTCACCTGTTTGTTACAAAAATTGCATGCACTTGCTGATATGCCCCTATTCAACTGCAGACCATCTCCGTCTTATTGCTGTTTATAAATCACAGTTTTGTTGTTTTGAAGACAGAGTAAATATCCCTATTTGGATGTTTAGTTTAGAATAAAATACATTGAATAATTAAAAGTGTTCCTGGCATAACATTTAAAGTTAATGTTAAAACTTTAATTGCCAAACTTTAAACTGACAGATTGCAAAAAACAAAAAAATAAATAAAAAGTGTGTGTTGTGAAATCGTAACTCACCTCCTTAAGAGTGTATTTCAACTTCGCATAAGCATCGTCCAAATTATCATTGATGATTATAACATCAAATGCACCAGGTTCTTTGCCTAGAAAGAGATCCATTCATGGTCGGTTATGACGTGCAGATTTATAGTTTGTAACTTTGATCTGTTGAGAGCAAATCACAGCTACTTACTAAACTCCATCTCGATTTTGGCTGTCTGTAAACGCTTTTGGAGGCTCTCCTCCGACTCTGTTTTTCTGCCTCTTAGACGCTTTTCCTGAAGCAAGAGAACAGGTTCAACCTACAGAAGCTATTCAGAAGCCAAAACCTGTTTTACCTGATCCCTGTGATGCAAATTTAACTGGTGATAACACCCACTTGTTTGGTGGCAAAAATGGGAAACTACAGACACATGCTGTGCACACTTCAAATCTTATGTGCTTACCAGAATTTCCATGGATGGTGGCTGGATGGAAATGAACATTGGATTGAGGTCTGTCTTTTTGATGTTCTTCACACCCTGCATATCAATGTCTAATAAACAGATGAGGTTCTTGGATTGGACCTCTTGGACAGCTGCTTTACTTGTCCCATACAGGTTCCCGGAAAACTCTGCACTCTCAATAAAATCGCCATTGTCGATGCCTGACTGCATCACATCCCGCGTAACATAATGATAATCTGAAACCCAGCAGGGAAGAAGAAGAAGGAGAAGAAGAAGAAGAAGAAGAAGAAGAAGAAGAAGAAGAAGAAGAAGAAGAAAGTACACAAAAAAGGACAATTGAGAAAAAATCCAACTGTTTAATCAGCCTGCTTTCAGGTTCATTGGTTGTGAAAGAGCAGTGACATGCCGTACCTATGCCGTTCTGTTCTCCAGGTCGGGGTTTTCTTGTTGTATCTGAGAATGGAAAAGACACTTCTGTCACACTAGAGTTTAAAAATCTGGCGCTGCAACAATTTGTTACTCGCTTAGGGAAAAAATAAAAGCTTTACTCATGACTAACAAACCTCAACAGCAAAATAATAAATATTAAAAGTAATGTGAAATTCTTTACAGGGACATAGACAGACACACTTACGTGAGATGCTGAAGCCAAAGACACCTTCATATTCCTTCATGAGCTTCTTCAGCAGAGTGCTCTTTCCCACCCCTGATGGGCCACTACACACCACGGGCCTGGGTCCAGCCATAACTGAAATAACAGCGGAAAAGAAGAGTGTAGTTTGTTATAGGAAACAAACGGGCGAGGCTGCAGAGCAAATCTGTAACCACACAATATGAGTCATCACTGGAACAACATTACTCTGTGCAGTCACAAGGGTTTTTTCTTCTTTTGTTAGTAAAAGGCAAGTAAAGAGAAGCCTCGGCGAAGTGAGGGACACACCATAAAATGCTAAGCCAGCAATGTTTAAAAAAAACCCTCATGATGAGAGCAAAACAGCCCTCAGGAGAGCTAAAGCAATCAACTGGTAAGCAAGCTGTGACGTTACCATAGTGCTGTCGAGGAACAACTACTAATTGAAGCACCCAACTCCGGTTGGGAGTGTCAGAAAGAAAAGGAAATTATCTTAAATTTAATTAACAGATATTTTTATTTACTCAAACTACACCTTCATCAGCCTTCAAACTAAAATCTGCAAACAATCTTGTGAGCAGGCAGTCAGAGTTCTTTGTTTCTCTACATCTGTCTTTTTCTTCCCTGTTACATCACATTTCTTTTATTACAAATTGCTTGACTATCAACCAAAAGTAAAGAATTAAGCAATGAGTGTCACGTTCCTCCTTACCCTCTTACCTCAAAACACACAGAGCTGACGCAGACAGGAAAATCAAGTCAACAGGAAGGGAACGATTGTGTGTCTGCAGATTGTGTTTAAAAGCAGATGGGTGGAGAGACGGGGAGTGGGCAGGGCCAATTTTACTGCACTAGTTTTTTTTAAGTTCCATCTTATGATTCAGTTTAAATATCTTATTACTTGTTAGTGACTTGCTATAATGCAGCCATGTATGCATTTTGGTTTCAGCCCTAATGCTCAAACAACCTCTCATTAAAAGACACTCAAAGTGTCTTGAAAAAACACTGAACCTAGTAAAGAAGATAACACAGCATAATAAAAGGCATTAAAACACTAGTTTTAACTACACTACTACGCCAAGGTGAGGTGTCGGACGGGTCTGCAATTAATCCAAAAATGAGGTTTTCTGTCACATGATTCATGCACTGAATCCCAATAAAGTCTAAGCAATCTTTTAAAATGAAAGCAAAAGTAAACTGATCTGCATGTTGGGATGCTTGTGTGATCTTTTAAGAGCAGAGAATAAAATTCACATTATTATGAGGTTTCTGATTTCCAAGCAGTTTTCCTCCATCATTTTTTGAATGCTTCCCATAAACAGAATCATGGCTAATAAAAGGATGTAGGAGTTCCTTTTGCAAAAACTGGATTCTTTAAACAAATTTATAGGATTTTAATTTAATATTTGATTATTCAATCCAGCAGGGCTGGACTGAGACTGTAAATCATGCAAAGCTACTCAAGCGGAGTCCGAGTATGAAATTATCAAGCTGTAAAGAGCATAGCGTGCACCCTTTAAGTAAGAACACAAGACACTAAAATAATTAACTGCAACCTACCAGCACAACATCGAAAGGCAATTTTTCCTCCCACATAAAGTCATACCCACAGAACACCTTTCCTACATAAACTGAGAGGAAATGAGAGCCATGTGAGTTTATAATCAACACACAGCATTTATTGGAAGCTGCATGGTGCCTGACTTTAACCATGTGCACTAAATTGCATGTAATGCAATCATTTACTGAAGCGCAATTTGAAAATCACATGCAATGTTGCATTTTTAAAGTCAGAGACAATCCGCTTCATGTTCAGTGTTAACGTTACAAGAAATAAAAATCTGGATATTTTTCTTTAAAGAAAGTTTATGCAGCCTCCTTTTAAGCAAATATTTCTTGATATTTTGCATATTTGGTTCTTATATGGGCTTAAAAAGACATTATAATAATATCCCTGGTCTCTGGAATTTTTCTAAAAACCCCCAAAACAAAACAAAAATGATTATGTCAATACAAACCACCTTGAGGTAACTGCTGTTGTTATTTGGTGCTATATAATTAAAACTGAATTGAAAAAAAAATCTAATTGATGTCTAATTGAACTGGGAAAATGTAGCTGGGAAAATAAGTTACAAAGCTTTGGTCCATCTTGTAACAATCCTGTAATACCACGCACAGGATGTTGGGTGAACAGATACAACAAACTAAACGTGGGGAAAAACAATGACGGGAGGTAGTCAAATAGATTAGTGCAGCTTTTCCAAATCTCTTACTAAGTAAACACAATAAGGATAAAAGGCAGCTAAAGTTCGCTTTTGCACCACGTGAAAGCTTTTATATACACTACTGTATCTTCTCTAAGTTCAGCTTCTATTCTGTCTGGTAACAGTCTGTCAGTTTCTGTAGGGATCCACAAATTGGTATGCATTTTTCTCAGCAGTTTTTAGGCGATTATGACACAGACAATTTAGCTGCTGCTTCGTTTTCTCTATAGTATTTTCCATTATAGCTTTTTTTTTTTGGGGGGGGGGGGGTAAATTTGTAATTTTCGCTGATGGGCCCAACATTAGATGGTTTACTTAATTTGACTGTAATAAGAAGCCTGCCCTTCATATTTACTGGGTAAGACCAAGAGTTTAGAAGAGTGTGTGCCCTGCAGACCCAGCCAAAATGTGGGACACTGTCTCAAGATGTGTGAAAGGCAGGAGAACAAAAGAGGGGACATCTGGCCGCCCTAACAGTATGTAACATCAAGATAACAGTGGCTTTATTCTAATCAGGAGGACAAACAGTTCGTATCTTTTTCACATAGTGAGGCCTCGTCATCTGTTTCTCATATGCATTTGATGTTAATATATAGCACACAGGAACTGCAAAGTCTGTATGTTATAATCATATAAAAACTGACATTATTGTAACAAGAAGTTAAAGTTGTTGGAAGTGAAATGGGGATTTAAAATAGGCTTAAATGCACTTCTTCCATTATTCCATGCCTGAATGACACTTCCTAAACCAGACTTGCCAACAATTAAACCACGGGTAACATTGCGCCAGCCATGTTAATTTAAAACACTCTGGTAAACACATGAACCATCTTCTTCTCTTATGGGACTTCAGGAATGAATGGCACGCTCAGATATCGTGATACAACACGCAATTTGGAGAGAGCAGAAAACCCCACCAAATGTCCTCATTCCTACCTGAAAATAGCCTGGAAAAATGTCTCATTATGGGACAGGAATAGAGTTAATCCACAACTTAAAGCACCGTCTCCTGCGTGTCTTCTCCCTCCCTTGCTGTGCTCCGAGTCTTCACCGCGAGAGCCATTAAAGATACCCGTGCTGCCTACGTCATCACCACAGGCCAAAACACCAACAAGTGACGTTACGAGCGTCAAGAATGCGCGCGCGAGAATGCTGAAAAAGCAGGGCTTTTAGCAACATTAGCCAAACAAATAATGACGAAGACGCTGATATTTTAAAGCTATTATTATTGTGAATGTATGTATGCTTTCAACTGGAATCAGGCAGCTTCTTCAAAAGCGGCAATACCGACATGTGCGCGGGCTGGCAGTAACAACTATAACCTAAAGACGCATATTAACGATTTTAAGCTAACTAGCGTTTAAACAAACTAGTTCCCCTGCGCTCTGCGGAGACTTGGGGAAACTGGAAGCAGTGCCTCTAGGCAAAGGAAGCATTACCACTAAGAAGCAAGCCTCTCACCAACAGGTCCTACTAACCATAAGGAATTTAAACTTACCACAAAAACTCCTCGGATGAGTGTTAGCTGAAGGCCTAGCCGGTCGTGCGGGTCATGTGCTAACGTGGCTAAAAGTTAGCTCTTCGCGTTAACAGGACATTGTTTTTGCCTTAACTTTTAGAGATACCCCACTAAAATGTTCGGTTCCTCGAGATCTGGAGGTGTACGGGGAGGTCAGGACCAGTTCAACTGGAATGAAGTGAAAGTCGACAAACACAGAGAAAACTATCTCGGTAAGTACAGGAGATGGTAGCCATCTGTCTGCTATCAGCAGCAACCAGATGCGGTGCTGCTCATATCGCTTTAACTGAGCTCTTAAACTACGCACACCACGGCCTCACATGCAACTCTCCCATACCTTTTGTTGTCGTTTCCCTCATTACACGAAGTCTGGATGGGTCTAATGGCTCGGTTTTCGCCTTGTCTTTCAGTCTACACAAAGCAAGTCCTAGCTTTCATTGCTCCCACCCCTGAGCACAGACACGTAGTCTCTCCGTTATGTGAGCCTACACAGTTGCCAGCATGCCCAGCAAACCAACAGCAGCTAGCCTACATAGCGGCCACCACTGATGAAAAATAGGACTCCCAAAAGTAACCCTACTTAAATTGTTCAGGAACGTGCATTTTAAAAAGCACTCATGGAAAAGCATCATATTAATATTATTGTACAGTAAGGTCCTCATTATACATGATGTTAGCAGCAGATATTAAAATGTATTGTTTCAACACGTGACTGTGGAGGGGAGGATGCTAATAGAAAGATTAAAAAAAGTATTTTTTCTTTTAAGTTGTACATAAAAAGGAAACTAAAAAAAAAGAGACAATACTAACAATACCATACCAGCATCATCTTTGCCACGACTAATGAATAAGTCATTTTAGTGTGGGCCCCCTAAAACCCAATAAAGTTTGTGTTTGTGCACATTTTTTGTACACACACAATTATCGTGTGTACACAAGACATTTTTTTAAATTGACTTTACCCTGCTATACGTACTGTAAATAATTTCAAAACAAAAATGCACAATTCTTGACTATTTGGGGAAAAAAATGTTGACACCATTTGGATTTCTGTAACACAGACTTCATTCAGTGTTATGCTATGGCCCAAAACATAAACCTTTCACAATAAAGCTCAAGATCCTGTTGATACTTTTCAGAATAAACTGAATCTCATGAAAGAGTATGCAGAGTATTTACTGATGAGAAGCAAAAAAGAGCCGTCAGGTGCGACTCAAACGTTAGAACAGGCTTTAACCTGCAGCTCGCCGTGTAATAAATACGTGTAACAAAGAAAACGACGGCCGTTACAACCTATGTCTAAAAATGTGTAGTTTCATGCATCGGTAAAACACTCAACTCCAGATACACAACGCCCAGCTGGAAACACTTCAGCTACCCGAGATTCACAGAATTTACAGAAAATGATAAATTTTTGTGATTTATATCGTTATCGGACGATAGATGTTTTATATTGGGATATGAGATTTTGGTCATATCGCACAGCCCTACTTAAGAATGAAAAGGAAATTATCATACATCATATTCTGGAATCGTCATCTTTATCACGTGTCATCACTCCCTCTGTTTCCAGGTAACTCGTTGATGGCACCAGTGGGGCGATGGCAAAAAGGCAAAGATCTGACATGGTATGCAAAGGACAAAAAGGGTGGTGCACCTTTGTCCAGGGAGGAGGAACTTGCTGCTGTCAAGGCAGCAGAGGAAGAAGCGTTGATGGCTGCACTGTATGTACAACTTCCCATAAAAGAGATAAAACGGGAAGTTTAAACTGACCAGTT